GAAGATCACTTTGGCCCTTTGTATGTTGTCGACGTGCCAGCTCACCTGCGCACGTATCCCGTGTTTCATGCATCTAAACTGAATCTCCATCGTGACGCTGAGACATTCGATTACCCGAAGATATGATCCCTCGCGCAATCAAGGGCGGACATGAGATAGATAGAATCAAAGAGCATGTAGGTAAAGGGAGAAACAGACAGTACCAGGTTCATTTCATGTATCACCCGTTAGATGATCTCTACTGGATCTCCAAACAGGAACTGCTACGCAGCGCACCGCGCGTTCTTAAAGCTTACGAACGACAGATCGCCGCTAATGCCACACCAAAGATCTCAGCAAGGCTCTCTGCAACAGAGTATTCCAGGAATCTCTTTGCCTTGCTCGCCTATGATGCGTTTACCAAGGACTTAGAATGAGTTACTCGCTCGAAGGGACCTCACTCTTGAGGGGGGGGTAGTGTGATAACCCGTCTGAACACGGACTGAAACACACAGCTGATTTATGAGTTTTGCTCATAGACTGAATGCCCTACTGAGTTCCCCGCCTGCTAAGTCTGTGTGTGTGTGTGTGCTTGCTGGACTGCATGTCTGTCTGAGTGCTGGTTGGCTTGCGTGTGTGACCATGCCTGTCTGAGTGCTGGTTGGTATGAGTGTGTGTGTGTGTGGCCCGCCAGGGCACTTGTTCGTTCATTGGGCCCTCCGGGCCGGTACTTACCTGTGGCCGTGGCTTCGAAGGGTTGCAGCAGGGGAAAAAGCACTCAAGTAGCGGGTAGGCCGGTACCGCACCCGGCAAGGGGGGTAAATATGCAGGTACCGGAGGCCGAGCAGAAGAAGGCAAAAGTGGCATTTTTAGAGGCCGGTAGTGTAGGCTAGGTCTAGCGGGTACCAGTCTGAGTCTAGGGCCTGTAGGGGCAATATCAGAGTTTGCAATGATGTTCCCTCCAAAAGGAGGAAGAGGTACCGGTTGCTTGGGAAGGCCAGCGGCCTGGAAGTCACCGCCCAAGAGGCAAAGCAGGCCGC